TTTGGACCTAGCCCCATTGATGACGTCACAAGGTCCATTTTTCTAGACCCCTGCACGGCAAGCTTCGGCGTCACAGACGCAAACTTCAAATAGCTGCTAAAAATATAGTTTTAGAGATAAAGACAAATTACGAGCACGGTTGTGTAGCGTTTGACCTAGAGAAAAATAGAAAAATAGATTTGGTGACCTGAGGTCAGAGGTGAGGTCAACGACCCCGAAATGTGGTTTTAGTTTTTCGCAAATAACTTCGACAAAAAAGGTCCTAGAGCTACGGCAATGGTACCATCGCACTCGCCTTGTCAAGCCGCGTAGAATGATATATATTTTGTTCGGAAGAGGTCAAGTTTTATGTTGACCTCATGTGACCTCGAATGACCTCTGGTTGACCTTGACACATGAGAGGTCATTTATGATGGATTTGTACCCGCTGATCACGAATCTGGCATCTATTTTCCTCTAAGCTTTCATTTAGAGCTTCTGGACGCGAAATTGTCTTATTTATTACTACTAACTTGTATCAGTGAAATAGCCTCTAGCAGGGATACTGTAGGCGCTGGATAATGCTTTACGGGTGGCTTGAGCTGAGTGATTTTACTCTGATTTATTTTAAACTAAAGTTGATCGGGATGTCGTAATATTTCGGTAATATAATAAAATATAAACTCAGGCACAAAATAGCACACTTCACACTGGTTCTTATCACCGTCTTTCTCACAGGCTCTTCTTCTTTCACGCACACAATCTCAACCACAACCACCGTCAAAAGCGATTTTTGGTCCGCGGCTACATGAAAGGCTTATCTTATTCTACACCAATTAAACTTAAATATCACTTAACTTCTTCCTTCCTTGCCTTGCGGTTTCGATACTTATTTTCAAAACCTTTGTTCTAAACCTATTTTTACTTGTTCAAAATTATTTCCGTCCTACTTTTCTACTTCAGCAAAATTTTCTTTCGTGTAGCTCGTGCCCGTCACGAATAACGCCGCCGACATAGAAACGGCATCTACACCCCCGCCCCCGTCGGCGCACGTTAGCCCGAGCGTCACTTAGTGTTCGCTTCGACGGTTGTTATTCTCCTGCTTCTGCGAGGAGAACCAGCTTAGTCACCAGACGCGTCAGCACTGTGCTTTTCGTCTGCATAGCACACTTCACACTGGTTCTTATCACCGTCTTTCTCACAGGCTCTTCTTCTTTCACGCACACAATCTCAACCACAACCACCGTCAAAAGCGATTTTTGGTCCGCGGCTACATGAAAGGCTTATCTTATTCTACACCAATTAAACTTAAATATCACTTAACTTCTTCCTTCCTTGCCTTGCGGTTTCGATACTTATTTTCAAAACCTTTGTTCTAAACCTATTTTTACTTGTTCAAAAGTATTTCCGTCCTACTTTTCTACTTCAGCAAAATTTTCTTTCGTGTAGCTCGTGCCCGTCACGAATAACGCCGCCGACATAGAAACGGCATCTACAGATACTCTTCTGTGACCTTGACCTTTGAGCAGCCTTGTATCGTAAGATGAACCACAAATAGGGAACTGATAAGCCTCAAAACATTTCAAAACATCTTGGAAGCTAGCACGCAAGATGTGCGAAAAAGTGCCAAGTTTGAGGTCAACTTTGACCGTGACCTTGACCTTGACCTTTAATTTTAAGCACATTTTAGGAATCCTCAGATTCTCTTCTTTTGTTTGACACCCAATTTTGCCGGTTTGATGCAGCCTGCCGTCCTCTAGAAGGCTTACTTTGAGATCACTACACATTTGCCGGTTTTTGCCTTTGACCTTGACCTCTGACCTTGAAAATTGACCTGAGGTCAAAAATTTTAGGTGCTTTAGAATCGTCTCGTAAGGACCTTTCGTTTGGTATCGCTTTTGTTTCCGTAGCTCCCTTATTTACGGAGTTAGACAGGGGGGGGCGAAAAACGCCCCCCCGGGCTGCGGTGGTTGGGATTACCCCCCGGGCCTGGCCGGGATACCTCCCGGGTCTCCCCTACTTAGTTACATACGCGATCGTCATACACCGCACGGGTGTATTGTGAGGCACTGTGAACATTCAGTTATAGCACCTTTCACTTTTAAGTCATTTTTAGAATGACAAATCGAACGTCATTTTTCGAATGAAAAATGAGCCAATTGATCATTGAATCACAAAAACGATCATTGGATCATTCAAAGGATAACACTATGCAACAGTCATTTTGTTCCTGAGTAACGACCGATTTTTTTGGACTCATTGGGTCCCATTATAACCGAAATGGGCATTTGTTTTGATCTTAAAATGCTTTTCCGGTTTTCAGAGACGATTTTCGATTTTTGGCCCCGAAATTCGGTTTTTGGCCCACTGTGTCCGGTGTAATTGAGCAATCGACTCGCGGTAACTTTCATCGCCCTTCCTATGCCACAAACTTTCGAATGATATCCGGTTTTGCATATTTGCGTGTAAAAATAACGTCATAAATCTATGTTAAAGTAAGAAAATATTGAAATTTTGTAAAAATTTGACATTTTTTTCGATTTCATTTCAAAAAAGAGTAAAAACTAAAGGCCCTATCCAAATTCTGAGCCCAGTTCCTTGAAGAACATTCAATTTCCGTTCGGAAGGTACTATTTTAGTGCATTTTATCGGTTTACTGTGGCGTCCAGATTGAGTCACTTGAAAAACGGGCCCCCAACAGATCAAGATTCTGAGCGACAGGACTGCTCAAAAGTAAGTTCCTGCGTGTGACCCGAGGTCACAAGGGGTCAACAAAATGACCTCAGTTGACCCCTCGTTGATCCTATGGCGTTAACATACGTTATCAGGTTAATGCTATGTGATATGACTTAGGATATGTGTTTAGGTTAACTCAATCTGGACGCCACAGGAATCCGATAAAATGCACTAAAAAGGTACCTTCCGAACGGAAATTGAATGCTCTTCAAGGAACTGGGCTCAGAATTTGGATGGGGCCTTTAGTTTTTCCTCTATTTTGAAATGAAATCGAAAACAATGTCAAATTTTTACAAAATTTCAACATTTTCTTACTTTAACATAGATTTATGACGTTATTTTTGCACGCAAATATGCAAAACCAGATATCATTCGAAAGCTTGTGGCATAGGAAAGGCGATGAAAGTTACCGCGAGTCGATTACTCAATTACATCGGACACGGTGGGCCAAAAACCGAATTTCGGGGCCAAAAATCGAAAATCGTCTCTGAAAACCGGAAAAGCATTTTCAGATCAAAACTAATGCCCATTTCGGTTATAATAGGACCCAGTGAATAAGAAAAATTCGGTCGCTTTCCAGGAACAGAAAATTTTTCATTTTTTGTTGCATAGTGTAATTAGAAAACTTTTGATGCATTTTAGTCCATGCACCTGCTGATCTGCACAGTAGGTAGGTACACATGTCAGACATTGCGGAGATCAGGCGTGCTGCCTGCCAATCGGGTCATCTAAATGCTGTGTATTGTGTAATGTAAGCTGAACATAGAGAAAGCCAATTGGTACCCCATTTTAATTGCGCAGATCAGGAATCGGCCGCCGCTTGATGTATCCGGTTGGATGGTAACCTCACAGGTCAGGTCACTAACAGGAAAATAAAGTTCACGCGTTCTAGAGATATTCGGATTAGCATTTATAGAGACAGCCCCACGGCTGCCTCTGTACCGGCGAGGGTAAAGATTACTGCTCCAGTGCTCCACTAACTACCGGCCAATAACCAGGGCCTTCTGATGTAACTTTCTGTGATGGAATAAATGACATTTTAACGAGAGAAAAAATTAATAGTCGCGAATTTCAAAAGGGTGTCTTGAAACAGTGCTGCAACTAAATGTTTACATGTATTTGAAAAGGGGATTTTAATGCGTCTCACTCTCAGTAATGCGCCAGGCCGAAGAAATGCTTCCTCGGACCTTCATTCAAGTACAGATACAACAGTCCTCATGACTCGCACGTTTACGAGAGATAAAGGAAGCGACATGACGATGGGTTTACACGAACAGGAAATGAGCGCACATTGTTTGAAATGAACAGGAAACAAGCAGCATCGGCAGAGCTCCAAGGTAATTGGCGAAGAGCCTGATTATACCGGGATGGCGGTGGGAGTGTTCCTGAACCTCACGGACTCGGACAAGTCGCGACCTTCACCTCAGCTAGGCATCGCCGGGCACAAATGATAATCCGGAAACGTTTGCACATCAGGTATAACCCGATCATGTAGAAGCATCTAATGTTGGTTTAGCAGTTTAGAAAGAGGAACAGACTTTTAACTCGCATTTCGAGTTCAGAAACAAAGTTCCAATACTTGACTGTGAATTGTCTTCACCTAGGTATGCACTTCAGCACTTCATCATATTTCACACATTTCGTTCCTTCTTACGCTTGGTCACCCTTTTGGTTCATCATAACGGCACTCGTGACGAATGCTTACTGCAAACGATCTATGTGCGGACTGCGCGCTCCATGCACTTCGTGTCAGTGGAGCGCGGGTAGGGGCGTGTCGTGGGAACCGTCCGTGACACGGTGTCAGCGCCCACGGCGGCGGTGTCATCAGGGCCGGCGGTGTCAGTCGCCGTCATCAGATAGCCCCCGGGAGCGCCGGCGGTGCCGGGCTCCCGCCCCCGCCCTCGCCCACGCCATGGCGCTCCACAGAGCCACCAGGATGTGCTGGGTGGAGTCCCTGGATCCTTTTTGTGCCGGTACTGCATCATATCTTGACCTCAATGACGATGGTAGAAAGGTTTACCGGCTAGTCGCGATTTTATTTTGACGGTGACTTCACCTACGCGCAAGAGCGCTGCTAACCATCGAACTCCTACGACTTATCACCTTAAATTTGGGGCTCTTTTCAATTGTCGTCCACCCCGATGATGCACCGAAATTAAGGTACATTTGCAATTGCAATATACATTTTGTTCGTGACTCGTCAAAGGTTGAAAACATAATGAAGCTTTTGCGCAAATTGATAGCAATTTTGAGTTCTCATTGGCACTAGTAGCAAGAGAGCTTCATCCACACAGGTATATGGTATTGAAACAATGCATTACGTAGTGAACACTGGTACAACATTCGAAAGGCAGCATAAAGTGAGCTCGAAACCTTCCACACCGTTTGAAATACACGTGAGATATGGCATAGGACACGGAATAGTACACGACCCCCGATAGTAAAATAGACCGATGACCTCAGACCTGCCCTCCCTATCGTATTTGGGCAGCGCCGATCCACCATGTCACACAATTCCAGACGCCATCCAACAGCAATAGTTCCGTCACGAATGCGTGTAGTATGCGCCATTGACACGACGGACCCCACCGAGTCTGCTTTGAGGATGGCACTGTCCTACCGTTCAGCAAACACGCTGCGGTCATACATAGGACTCACTTGGAATGTAATATCCAACGCCTGATAACGTCAATAAGGATTGTTCAACATGAGATTCGAATAGGTTTCATCGCTTTTTGCCGATACCTATATCGGCCGAGTCGAGAGATATTCGCTAACAACGTTTAAACCTCGCTTCTTCTTCGAGACCATGTGATTGAGGTCGTAGCTAATCGACTTCAAAGCGAGGAAGCTGGTCAACAGCCCTCGGACTACCTATGTCTGCAGCACGCTGGTAACACCGGCCACCGTTCAGGCCAGGCTGGGACACATGGGCAGTGTCATCTGACCGAAGAAGTTCATCTCGTACAGACAGGCCACCGAGAGGAACAGGGCGTACCACACCAGCAGGCTGATGCCGTACGGCTTGGAGAGCGTCCACCGACTCAGGTACGTGGCCACCAGCAGAAAGATCACCGTCGAAAACAGAAACACGGTCGAGTACAGCATCCCTGCGGCGTGGCACAAGGTTCGTCACTCGTCAGTTTGCACCACAGAGGTTACTCGGGAGCGAGGCCTGTACACAGCGCCTCTCTCGAGTGAGGTAGTAACGAGTGGTTTGTACTCCCGCCACCAGGTGGCGGCAGAGACTGAACGCTATTCGCCTTGCGCTATTCTTCGACTTCGATGCATCGTCACCTTTGCTCCAAAGAGTCAAGTTCCAACTGCTATGGCTCGAATCGTCCACGAAATGGTAGAGTTACACTGATTGCGACACGAACTTTCCAAAATCTCTTTCACACCTTTATTCTGTCTACCTCAGAAACTCTGTTCCGCCTTGTTCCGCCCCTAATGTAGTGCTACCCGGACCCATGGCGCCTACAAACACGTATTTAGGCGCCCCGAAAACGTAGAAAACACTTCCATTTCACTGCCTATGCATTAGGCATAGCAGTGAATTACATAATATCGAACATGTAAATCTCACCTCCACTGTCGACTTTGACGTACGACCCCGGGTAGACGAGCAGCGTCGAGATCAGCCACGGCACGCCCATGCAGAAGAGGATGTCGAACACGTTGCTGCCGAGGGCGTTACTGACCGCCATGTCACCGTACCCTGCGGCACACCGGACGGGCACGGTCAGACGGGTGGCGGCGGCGGCTGAGGGCGGGGCTGGGCGACCGCACAGCGCCCTTGGACCGTGCATAGCTGGGCTGTGTACGGTGTGCTGTCATCGACCGAGCGGTGGATGCTCCCCCTTCTGTGGCCCGCCGATCACCTCGTTTGTGGCCCCAGTACCCAGACCGGACTCCGATCAAACCTGGTTACGCGATCTAGCCTAATCTACTAACCCATCTGAGATCCGTCCCACCCATCCTGCTCTCCGTGACCTAACCCCGTGACCTGACCCTGTGACATGACCCTGTGACTTGACCCCACGACCTTACCGTCCCTGGCGACTGCCACACTGGCCAACACGTCTGGGATGGAGACGCCGATGGCGACGAATGATAGACCCATGATTGTGTCGGGGATGTTCATCGTGAAACCTGTGGGAACACAGAGGACCGCAGGTCAGCACAGATCGGGCTCTGCCAGACCCAAGACCCGACCATTTGTGATGTGACTTTCCGGCTGAAGAAGTTGGTGCAACCCCACCTGCCCTCCCCTGTCTGAGCTGTGCAGGGCCTCGCGGAAATGCCATTATGTGGCTGCCAGCAGACGCGAGACGCCGTCTGACGGCATCAATGAATCCATACTGGAAAGACGTGAGCCAGCCACACTGACCTCTGTGTAAGTAGGCATGCCGAGAGGTTTCAATTAGCTATTTTTGGAAACTTAAACTCTGAGCATTTTCGTTATTTGCTGTCTGAGCTGCAGGGCCTCGCGAGCATCGGCTCGCGAGGCGCTCACATGTACCTAAATGTGATAAATATAAATATAATAGTTATATAATATAATAGTAATAGTAAACAAGTATAATAGTAAATATAATCGTAAATATAATAGTTAAAAGCAGAAGCTTTTCGTCCGCTACTTTGTCTTGAGCAGCCCGAAATGGAATGATATGCATCGAAAAGATAAATTACACAATAAGATATCGTTCAAAGCTCCGTGGTTTTGACGTTTCTAATATCTCTCGGTCGCAGAGGAAAAACCAGTGGCAGATGCCTGGCGTTCCAATTGGTAACCGCCCGGACAGCGCCGGGGTGACCCTGCTCGGGCGGTCGTGTTTGTCCGCGCTCGATTATTAGAGGGGAGGGGACGAGTGGGGTATAGTTAGTTACTGACTGGACGACCTCCGAACGTAACAACGTGCGATGCATCTTCATTTAAAGGGTCATTTGCACTTTACGGCCTTCTACCATGCTAACGCTCAATGATCCCCCGCAATCCACTGTCACAGTCACAAAAGGAATCCCGTCACTTGTCTCCCCAAAATGAACACTGCTGATTGCTCTTTTTCGGTTATATCGCGAGTTTTCCATACATTCATGGATCGAAAAAAGCTGGCGCCCTCTCGACTCACCAATGACGGTGATCATCCAGACCATCAGGTAGGAGAAGAGCGCTATCCAGAGGGTGGCCACCACGAACGTCACCGGGTACCAGGGCCGCCAGCGCCGCTTCCCCACGTCCGGCATGGTGAGGTAGCACCCGACCACAATCGGCAGCGAGATCACGTGCAGCACCCTGACCGGCCGGGGGTCACACGATCAGTGACTGAGGTCAGGGAGGAGGGGGTAGGGTGCGACGTGTTTACCCAGTCGTCCCCAACAATCGCTATTGGAATAGTTAAGGCCGCCGTCCACTGTGCGGAACGCGTGCGGTCCGTACGGAATTTAACACAGAACCCTATGGGCGCATCCGGTCCGTACGGAAACCGTGTGCGCTCCGTCCGGACCGCATCCGAACGGCAATCAGCTGTTGATTTTCCGTCAGCTCTCCGCATGCGTTTCGGATGCGGTTGCTACGGAGACGGAAGAGTGATGTCCGACGCGTTGAACTTTTCTGCGGAAAACGCATCCGGAACGTCCGGAACAGACGTGGTTTGGGGCCGTATCGGAGTCAAACATTGTGAATTGTACGAAGAATTGGAACTCGATCATCATGAAGTAAGTAAAAATTATTTCCTTAGAATGGCAAGAGTATTTGCTGCTGGTTACTTGCAATATTTTATTTGGTAATAAGTGATAGGAAACATTTATTAGCTCTCCGCATCCGGACCGTATCCGGACCGCATCCGGACCGGATGCGGCCAGCGTGCGGCGACATTCCGGACGGACTCCGGACGGAATTCCGTCGCAGTGGACGGCGGCCTTAAGTTTACGAAATGAGAGCGTGACTGATTCCAAGTTATCTATGATCACATATTAACCATTTACGTCATGTGCCCTTATCCTCTCGTCTGCATCCAAGGTTTAAACACGTGCCCTTTATTCAGACCAAACATCGTGACTTCCCCGGTGACATATGCACAAGTGTGAACGAAGGATATACGATGTGCATTTAACGGGGACGAACCCGATCGGGTGCGCGGCGAGCGCTGACAAATGTATCGCATCCCTGGGCTCACTGTATGACATAACTCCTTGGCTTGTTCCGTATACAGGAAATTTTTACCCATACTGTCTGGCGTCTGCCTGCATCCAGCATCTACCAAACAATTTGGATGACTGGATATTTACTTTTAGAATGAAATAAGATGTCAATGATCCATGATAAGTTAATATAGCTTATCGTTCATGATATCGCTTCTAGTTTTGGCATTTTATCCTACAGATATCCTATCTCTAAAAAGTCGTTTCAGGTTATCATAGTGCTCTTTTTTTTCTGCGGGAGCTCGGCAGCCTTGGGCAATGGGTAAGCTAGACCACAGAAATAGTCGACGTCCGATCTAGACCTCGCTCCCAATCATTCAGCCGACTCGCTAAGGACAGGCTCTCATGGCTCGAGGCCGTATCTGAGGCAGAGAGGATGAAAACATCGCCAACAACCAATCAAAGAAATGACAGCCGAGGCCGAAGGACGCAGGCATTGTGCAGCATGGTAATCAAAGCAGCCAAGAAATCGGGCGTTGTTTCCCGACCCTATTGCTGACAGCCCTCGTTGACCGCTTTCATCGTCATAGACCGGTTTGTCAACACAAATGCCAAAATACTCCTAGCAGTGTCACTGATTGCCAAAATATACTGAATAGTGAGACAGTAAAGGTCAAATGGTGTGCCTATCGGAACTGAGAATTTGCACAGGCACACCATTCACTAAGCTTAATGAGGATGAGTGGTTCATAGTCATGGAGTCACGGATGCCACGTTTGGCCGGTTGTGTTTGATTGAATAAAGCAAAATATATAAATCTGAAGCTCACCGACTGAAAGTGCCGTCCGGCCAGCGGAAGGTGTCGTTGTCGTCATACGGCACCTCGTGCACATTGGCAGTCATCTCCTGCTCTATCGCCTCCGACGCGTCTGCAGTAAGATGCGCACGGGTCAGCTGCTGTTCAATGACCGCTGAGGTGTTTGGGAACAAACCGACGTCATCTACTGGTTTGTGATCCCTGTCTTGACGTGTCGCCTAAAACATTGATAAGCCGGTCATTTTTCTCTATCCCATTTGCTCTATAGAGAGGTGAGGGGGAGATGTTGCCCTCTCGATGCGGGTCGATGAGACGAAGGCAAAGAAGGAATCGAAAAAGGAATAAGAAATGCAGATACAGTACAGCTTGTACTAAGAGCAATTCTTCCTTTAGCTATATTATTTCGGTTATTGAAAACTGGCCTAAGCGACGCAATCTTGTCACTCACCTTCCTCGTTTTCCTCAGTTTGAGCTGCATCGGGGACAATAAAACCGATCATTTCATGAAAAAACTAACATTGAACATGATTCTGGGCCAAGCCGTTCGGGTTCAGCTCCCGGGGAAGGTAGGTATAGGCCCTATCGCTCCCCGCCAGTTTGGACAGGATTAGTGCTCTGAAGCACTTGGTCCACAAAAAATATATACGGTTCTGAAACCACAAGCAATCCCGCTTGCCTAATGCCGTCATATTCATGTAAATGAATAATCACCCTAATTGCTTCCAGTTTTTATTTTATTTCACTTTCACCCTTTCCCTTTGTATACCTATACCTACAACATCTTTAAACATCAACTCGTCGGCATGTCTGATGAAACTGGACACGTCTGTTTCAGTACCTACCTCTTTCAAGCCTCGACTTTCTCTGAAATTCCACCTCCTGGCCCTGTCCGCGCGCGCCCTTCTCACCCTCCTCGGAGTCTCCGGCGGCGGCCGGCTGGTGGTCGCGCGTCATCAGTGACCGCTTCTCGGCGCTGGGCGCGCTCAGATAGCGGGACAGGATCCAGCGCTCGATGGCGCGGTTCTTCCACATCACCAGACAGTAGAGAACGTACATGGAGACCAGCGCCAGCGCCTCGTACCTGGCGGTCGGGGGCGACGCCACAGCGTCACACTCACAGCCGCTGTCAGTATAGGACAACTATGGAAACTCGGAAATTTTGGAATCACTCAGAGAACAGACACTCAGCAGAACTATCACTGCCGTAGGATATAAGAACAAACTTCGAGGAAAGGGTCAACAATGTGTGAATAATAAGCCATAGTCTTCTGCTATACCCGGCCCGGTAGAGGTCTATGAATGAGCATTTGCACAGGCTGAAACGCTTCAAAGAAACCCACCCTAAGCTTCTCTGAGACAAAACACCGTAACCACGACAATTAACGATAGAATGTTTGCAATTTCAAAATTTGATTTATGATGGAATTACAACTTGTCTGACTCGTACTCAAACGGGCTTGGGTTGGATACCAGCCAAAACCTGGCTTGGCCTATACATTTCCCCGTCTGGCAAGCTCGTGTGCCATCATCTCACCACGCGATGAAGTTGTCGTAGATGACGGCGAGGAGGGCAGCGATAGAGATCAGGTAGCAGAGGATGTCCCTGAGCATGGGGTAGCACTTGATGCGGATCTTGTCGTCGACCAGCAGGGAGACTAGCGAGATGACCAGCATGGCGTTGAACACGGCGGAGCCGATGACGCCACTGATACCGATGTCGTCCTATTGGGAGAGAGAGAGAGAGAGAGAGAGAGAGAGAGAGAGAGAGAGAGAGAGAGAGAGAGAGAGAGCGAGAGCGAGAGCGAGAGAGAGAGAGAGAGAGAGAGAGAGAGAGAGAGAGAGAGAGAGAGAGAGAGAGAGAGAGAGAGAGAGAGAGAGAGAGAGAGAGAGAGAGAGAGCATGATGAATTGATGCACCGAAATGAGTGAATAGAAAAAGGACGACCGGGACGTAAAAAGAAACGCTGATCCTACCTAGTTATCACACTCAACAAGAAACGACCGGAGGAGCAGTGCACAAAAGCTATGTAAATGAGTTGATCCTGCTGTGCCGTCATCCAGGTTCTGCTATTTTTATAGTTGCACACTTGACATCAATCTTTCTCTCATGAATTTCCCTTCACCACGATAGTTCCGGGTCATTTCAGGACTAACGAGGATCTTTAGGTACATGCGACGAGCATACCCTTACATATCAAATAGGTATATCAAGCATCTTATAAATAACATACAGGTAGGTTCTGACGGTCAGTGTTGGCACCTTTGTGACGAACACGCCGAGGGTGGTGGTGGCCAGCTCGGGGGCCGAGCTGCCGGCCGCCAGCAGAGTGGCACCGGCCACGTCCTCACTCAGACCCAGCGAGTTGGCCGTCACCTGTGGAACAGGACGAGACACGAGAGGTCAGTCCACTGGCCACGTCCTCACTCAGATCCAGCGAGTGGGCCGTCACCTGCGGAACAGGACGAGGCACGAGAGGTCAGTCCACTGGCCACGTCCTCACTCAGATCCGGCGAGTGGGCCGTCACCTGCGGATGGGGTACGACACGTCAGACCGCTCAGTGCTCATCCACTGTCACCCTTATCACTTCACCATGACCATCAATCATCCATCGCCTTATTCGTCTCGACATGCCTCTTCCATAAGGTGTGCGCCGTTTACAGGTCAGCACAGATACCTACATAGACAGCAGTCGTCCAAGCTCCGCATGTATCGTATTCTATTTCACTCATGCAGAGGCGTTTCCTCTCCTCTCTCCCTTCATTAGTCCCTCCTCTCCTTTCCTCTCGTCTCGTCTCGTCTCGTCTCGTCTCGTCTCGTCTCGTCTCGTCTCGTCTCGTCTCGTCTCGTCTCGTCTCGTCTCGTCTCGTCTCTTCTCTTCTCCTCTCTTCTCCTCTCTTCTCCTCTCTTCTCCTCTCCTCCCTTCCCCTCCCCTCCCCTCCCCTCCTCTCCTCTCCTCTTCTCTCTATCCCCTCCCCTCCCCTCCCCTCCTCCCTCCCTCCCTCCCTGCATCTCTCCCTCTCCTCTTTCCTGCCCTCTCACCTCCAGCGCCGGCACGAAGTAGTCGTCACAGACGATGGCCAGTCCGAGGAAGCAGTAGAGCGCGGCGGCGATGTAGAGCACCACGCCTCCATGTCGGCGCTGGTCCTGGGTCAGCCCGCTCGACGGAAACCGCTCGATGGCCGGCCGACTGCAGTTGAGCTGCGCTGGCGGCGGCGGCTCCGAGAGCGCCACCGTCTGCAGCAGCCGGCGGCCTCCTGGCGGGTCAAAAGGTCACCGGTCAGGTCTGATAGGGTCTATGGTCAGTCAGACCAGGGTCACTAGTCACCGGTCATGGGATAGGGTCTGGTCTGGTCGGACCCTGCTCAGTCAGACCAGGGTCACTAGTCATTGGTCAGGTCGGACACAGACTAGCGGTCAGGTCAGTCCCGGTCTAACGACAGGCCAGGCAAGGGTCACCGTCCACTGTTCAGGTCTGTAGTGTCGTATGAACTGACGCTGGGCCGGCGCGACCGGCAGCCGGCGGCCGGCGTCGAGCCGGCCGCGTGGGAAGGCCGGCGGCCGACCTGCCCCGCGGCGGTCACGTGGGCAAGGTGACGCCGGCTGGCCGTGGCCCGGCCGGGGGAGAGCTGGACGAGCGCCGGTCAGCGATGGACGCTCTCGCGTGCAGGTCGAAATGTGCAGCTGCATTATCATTAGTTAAGTCTTTATCCTGTGTTTATGTGAACAATACATAGCAAGGTCATACACGGATCACTGATCAGGGTCAGATAAGGATCACTGGTCAGGTCAGACACAGGTCATCGGTCAGGTCAGACCCGCGGTTCACTGCTCAGGTCAACACGGGTCACTGGTCGGGTCACCCTCGTGTCATTGGCAGGTCACACAGCTGGACACAGTAGGGGTGGCTCGCTGCTGACGGCACCGTCTTCGATAGGGACTGCGCACCGCGGCACGTGTCCAGGACTGTCTGACTGCAGTGGCGGATCCAAGGGGGGGGGTGTCACATGGGTCATGCTCCCCCTTGGGGCCCGGGGGCACCACAGGCCTGTCGGGGGCACCACCGGCCTAGCAGGGGCACCAACGGTTTCGCAGGAGCACCATGGTGCACACTGACCAAAAATAAAAGATATAAAACAGAAAAAAACTGAAAATAGGACACCACCAAATTTAAGTAGTCGAAATCCGTTGAGTTCTTGATTTAAGCTAAAGGTAGGGGTACCACTTCGATCCATGACCCTCCCCTTGGAGTTTTCCTGGATCCGTCCCTGTCTGACTGACTGGTCTGACGCGTAGGTGCGTGACAGCGCTACGCCGAAATGGAGTCCTAACTATATTGTGAAATGACGTCACTAACCACACAATGACCAAAAATTGTCAGCATGGATTCTGATCCACCTAATTAGCAAACAAAGTACATTTTTATAAATTTTAGACGCAATGCATGGGTTTTTCCCTACATTCTGACGACCGCCTGTCAAACCGAGTAGCGTTCCAGTCGAGGGCATTCTTGCCCAGATATGATAGCCCCGACGTACCGCAGCTGGCATGATTACCGTATAGATTTATTGCATAGTCAAGTTCCTGCAGAGTCTCAGCGCAGTAAAACGCGAGACGGATATCAAATCGTAACCTATTCAACATGCCGTCATCGCGCCGTAACAGTCAACGCAGCACCGAGCCGCACCTTTTCAAAAGTTCGTTTTTAGTCGGACCAATCCAATCGTAAATCGATCAGATGGTTCGGAAATGTGACAGTCGTGTTCTGTACCTATGTATGCGGTGTTGATTGATGTTCAAAGCTCACCTGGATGGGTTTCTGACGAAGGGCCGGCCGAGTAGCGCGCTGCCAGCTGTGATACCGCCACGTAGACTAGGAACAGGCCGCATGAAGCCAGCAGTCGCTGCCTTCGACGGAACATCAGCCGTTGCCTGCCCATGGAGAGAGTCAACACTTAGTTTGAGCACCATCAGCGCAGGCCGACGCAACGAAGGGCCGTATTCTGATAGTTATGTCATGCGAGTTTTCTTTAACCACTGGATCACTGACCTTGGTTTTTAAAATGCGACAGCTCCGACGCATTGTGCCCGATATTCCATGCTGTAGCTTGGCTTGGCTTGGCTGTAGCATTTAATCGGGGCTCCCATGAAATGATGGGTAAAATGGAAAAGCGTGTCAAGTATTGTAGATACCTCTTTTGCGAGGATTGATACATCATCATCGTGTTATGGCAAACATCGGACAACCCTAAATGCTTTTTTCAGCATTGCTGATAAAATAAAAAAGTTTCCAGTGAAAACTATTGCAAACACCTACTTGTAAATCTTTACTTCTGTATTAGCCTTTTTACAGCGGCCATGCCTGTAGCGAAATGATCGGTTGGACCCCTTTAGCTGTTTAGCCCCTGATTGGGCTGGAGCATAAACGTCTGCTAGAGCCACGCAGAAAAAAAAACGAGCGTGTTTCCTGTGACGATACGAAGCCGGTGGTGTCCAATTTTAAGTGCCTACTATAGGTCATTAGCGGACCTTTCAGATAAGGTCAATTACCCGAATTTCCAGAAAACGAGGACCTCTAGACTCCCTAAAAGTGAGATTATTCTAGGCCATTTTAGGGTTCTGATGTACAACTTTCTATTGTTTTGATCAAACGTGATGTTTTTCAGCATTTGTGGTAGGGCAGCTTAGATGGTTAGGCTAACCATTACACGTCTTTCCGTTCGTCTTCGAAGTAAATCGCTGCCATCGATGACGAATGAGCTTGGTCTAAACTTCCCATGACTCAATCATTTGCCCGCGCCCTGCTGGGGTGCGGGGCGTTTTAACGCCCCTCAGGTTATTCGCAAATATCTGAAAAACGGCGGCGCGCAGCGCCACCGTTTCTGGCACACCTTATCACACCCCTCTCTGCACATGTTCTAAAAATTTCAGACCCGGGTCTTTCAAGGTCAGGTAACAGATCACATCAAGTGACCTTACCTCAGAATACGTTTCAGCGTTGATACACCGACTAGACAATCACTTTGAAGCTTTCAGCGATTGATAAGAGTAACAACAGCCGTTTTCACGATAGCCATTTGGTACACATTTGGTGCAGATTGGGTGCAGATTTGGTCAAATTAGGTTCATTGTGTTTCTTAAAAGTTGTCATTTTGGGTTGCAAAGATGCTTTCAGGCCAGAAGGCCTGTCGTGAAAACGGATATAATGTATAAAATATATATCTCAAAGTTTTGATATTTCTGACCTAAGATCAGGCCAATTTTACGACCACTACATTATAAGTCAATGGGATAAAACTGAAATGCGCCTCTTTTGGACGGAAGTCAAACTAAACACCCGCAAACATCGGATAACAAGTAAACATTGCACACTGAATCGGAAAATTGCCACCCATGACTCCTCTATATGCCCCTGAGGTCATCTCAGGCCATGAAAAGTTTCCGGCAGTTTTTTTTTACAATAACTTTTGATAGAAACACGCTAGCGCAACCAAAAGGCCTGAGGTGAGCTCAACTCGACTATGCGGATCGACTGATACGCAGCCTGGCCTTTTCCGACCAGGACCTTGGCAGGTCAAAAAATGGCAATGGCCTTTTGGAGGTCAAGTTATAGTTCATTCGACGTGTTTTGGCGGGAGGAGCACGGTGCTGGTAAAATAAATGTCGTACCTTTGTTGAGTCAATAGTTGGGGCATTCCACGTCAAATCAAACACCGAAATCCGTCATCCCCTTCGATTTTTCTGAAAATTTGTAGGCAGACTGGGCATGGTTCAAAACTGAGTTGCGTATAATATTTTCGAAATTTGATAAAGTATCGCTGAGATATAGTTCATCGAATATAGCCAAAAATGCCACACATCAATTTTTTTAATGTCTATAACTCTGGTTCCTTTTCTGGTATCAAAATGACATTAACAGGGTCTTGTAGGCAATTGATAAGGCTTTGATTTTTAATTATAAAACCATTTGTGAAAAAAATTTGAGTGGGCCATTCATAACTCTCGCGGCAAACGCCGTTTTCATGCATCAACATCACGCAACCGCGCGTGACCTTGAAAGACAGAGTCAAGACATGCTTGCTTGTCTACGGCCCTCCAGCAAAAGAGTGGCTGGTTAGCCTATGTGCTTTTGATGTAATAACTTTAAATGACAGAGACACTCCTGTAAAATGAGGCAATAGAAATGAGAAGAGGGTTCGTGCACACACCTCGGCAATGGTTTTCAACAGCCATTAGACGTATTCATCAATGCAGATCGCTTATTGTGATGTTGGCAACCTACCACTAAATACTTGGAGGGCCGTACACTTTCTGAAATGAATGATTGCTGATTAGTGATATCCAAAACTCTGCGAGAATGGAAATACATAGTCATCGTAGTCAAGCATTCAAGTTCCATAGTAAAAGTGTCTCAGGCAAACGGTATTTTGCGGTGAATTTTGAGCCGTGTGGAAATGCATCATGAAGCCAAAATTCCACGAAAACATTATCACGCAACGATATCTTCACGTCTTTTTGTCTTCACTATACGAAAGAATATACATTTTTGAGTATGTATGGGGAATTTCTAGTTAATCCAATAATAAATATGGCAGTTAGAGACCTGCTAAGAGTAACATGTCGCCGGCTGAGGCGGGATCGGCCGACGCGGGAAACGCAGCAATCACAATTTTGTGTTTACACGTTCATATTTCAATTGTTTACCAACCGATTTTCAAAATTATTACACCATAAGATTGCCTGTATATTTCTTAGTCTTCTCACAAAATTTGACGCGAATCGAACGTAATCAGCGGTAAGGAGCGCGATGTAAAGACGGAACCGTTCCGTTCCGTCCCGGCACAGTCTACAATTCAGGCGGCGGCTAGCGGTCGGCGCCGGCTGCCGAGTCGCCGCGTCGCCGCGGCGACAGGATGTTCACTTTACACCGCTATATTACTAGACCAGTTGTGAACCGATTTTCTTCTTGCTTGCACGATGAGATGTGCAATTCAATTTTGAACAGGTAGCTATAATTAATTTCGCATTAATACTATGAGATATTGGCGAAAAACAGGAGGGGTGGGGCGAATTTCACTCTTCCCCCTCCACTGCGCGTGCTAACATACGTTTGCATATGTGCCATTTTCTTCAAAACTTATGAATGGCCCACTCTAATTTTTTCACAGGTTGTTAAGAATATGGTAGGCAATAAAATATATGAAAATTAGCCAAATCGAAGGTGATGTGTTTTTTGCTATTTCAATTTTTGTGCTTAAAGGAAAAGGGCCACCTTTAACATGGGGATTGAAACTGAGATAGCCATCTTGTAGCCCGTGTCCGAAAACCTATCTGCCTACCTCCTTACGGCCGATTTCGGCCTCCATTCGTAGTTATCGGCAATTTTAAAAGAAAATACGCCAGGAATGCGTCCTTATCCCAGGAATGCGTTCTTATCCGACAATACAGCCACCCGCGGCGAGGCTTTGGTTTTTTACCAATCAGCTCCAACCAGCTCAGCTTTAACAAATCAGCTTATCTGACACAATCCGACGAGTCTGTCTTCTGAACGCTGATTGGCTTGAGTGTGACGTCATCACTATGCCATCATACAGTAGATGCAGTAGAGAGTATCAACATAGTACCAATATGTTAAATAGTTGTAAATACTTTTTCGCGAATTGTGCCTTTCTGGCACCAGTTTTAAAAAGAAAATGAAAAAAATAATGTCAAAATGAAAAACAACGATATCTTCATATTTCACGAAGGTGGCCCTTTTCCTTTAAGAACAGAGTTAAGCAAATTTCAAGGTCTTATATTTACGTAGGTGCAATTCTAAACAAATGCTTGAGAAATTACCTAAACAGTAAGGTTTATTTCATTCAAATCAAACAAGTACAACCAAAGTTATGGTCGTTCAAAAATATAAAGATGCAACATTTTGTAAAAATTTGATGCCCTATATTTAGAAGACCTGTGGTCAGAATGTGCAAAAAACATCAATGTAATGTTCGGGGCGACACAGGAACTCGCTCACAAATTTATAATGAAATCGCTGATGGTAAGGTGCAAAACAGCCGATTTTTGTTCGATTTGACGTGGAATGCCCCAGTTGTTACAGAAAAATATTGCTCGTAAAAACTGTCATTTTTTTCGAGCTTTTGCCCCATGCAGCTGCTGAACCGTTGGTCCGTGGTTGGCGCCGAGCACATTCCCGGCGCGGGTTAACGTAAGACAAGCTTGGTGTAGGTAAGAGGTTATTGCAGCAAAAACGTTTTCACCAAAAACATAAAATTTTAGTAGGTTTTGCCCTTCGGAGGCTTGGTCTATAAATAAAATCTGAGAGGGCTGTTCAGAAAAAGCTATTCGAAAGAACTATATCGAGAGCGCTTTTCCACGGCGTTGTAGCTCTATCCGTTCCTGAGTTATGCGCTGATTTGTGCAAAATTGTCAAAACCGGAAAAAAATCGGTATATTACTTTTGGTGACCTCCAGTGAACTCAGCGGTGACCTTATAATTATGGAAAAATGGCCTTATTCTGAAAGATATCTTATAGTGAGCTAGGTATTGTTTTTGTGCATCTTTCTACCTTTAACCCGCGCGGGGCTGGGGTCTCCAACCGAACGCGCGGGGCTGGGGGGGGGGGTAAATTTTACCCCCCCCCCCTGTTATCTCCCGAACTAATGGTCCGATTTGGAAAATTCAAACGCCAATCGAAAGATCTCATCACGAACAACTAAAAACATGTACTTAATTTTAAGTTTGAGGTCAAGGTCAAGGTCAGGTCAAGGGTACAAATTGCAGGTTCCTACAGTATCGGCCTTGCACCGTAGTTGCCGAAGAATGGAGTCATGGACTGAGACTGTTCGCCCAAAACGTGTTCTTAGGCTACCAAGACAATATTCGTTGCATACAATATCATTCAGAGGTCAAGGTCAAGGTCAGGTCAGGT